ACACGAGAAAGATAGAAATAGAATAAGAATTGACTACTAGCACCATCTTCTGAGTTTTAAAGATATACCGTGGATAAAACAGACGTATAAACTCAATCCATAAAGAAGATACGGAATATGTATAATAACTTATGAGATTAACATCTCACTTTCGAAAAAAAGAATGTTTCGAATTAATAACAACAAAATGCTTATTGAAAATAAGTTATAACATCAAAATTTTTTAAAAAAATTAGGATGTTATAAATAATTCAATAAACATTAATAATTAAAATTATAATCGCGCTCGCAACCAATTATTATTTGCTATAAAATTTATAATTGCATCATACGATATATTATGAATTGTATAGTAAATAATAATGATTTCCCAGGTCTCACCGGCTTGGAAGTTGCTGCGAATTGGAGATCCAACCCTAACCACGACGTCCCATCCACCCTCCTTTAGTGCAAAAATTTATTTCAAATCAATGATAAATCTTCCTTTTGATGAATGTTTTCAAAACGTTTCAAATTTTGATCGTTTTGCAATGCAAACAACAAAAGGAATTCTAAGGAAAACCGACGCGATAAGCTAAACCTGAAAGTAAGAAAAATTGTTGAGATTATATCTTAATCTAACGTATACAACTCTACATAAGACACATATATAAACATATATATTTCATATCAATATTTTATACATTCATTGCCATGAAAATATAAAATACTGATAATTTAAAACGAAGTTTTAAAGCAAAAAGAGAACAACAAGTAAATATATTTCACACAGAATTATACTTATTTTAGTGACCATCATCAATTTTAATATCACCACTAATATCATTACCATTAATTATGCATACAGTTACAAATTCTACTTCAAGCAATTTTCTACAGCAGCAATTCTACAAGCAAATTACTTATATTATAACAATTTCACGAACATAATTAATGAAATATCCTTAGGAATATGTTAATTCTAAACGTAATTAACCATAGTTCCTAAGGATTCAAAATACTTAACATAAGTCTACAATTATTTTCTCATATAACAATACAAACATTTATTTACAGATAGACGAATTTATTTACAAAAAAGTTTCAATAAAATCAAACGAATTATATAAAATACATGTATCTCTCGTTTGATTCCATACACATTTCACATTCATTTCACACTTACTAAATTAATCTCTAATACAAAAAATTAATAAAAAATCTATAAAATATAAGTTACTACAATAATTTTTTATATATTTTATTTCATATATAGTGTAGAAACTCATATTTGTTAAAATTTTTATTAATCTTTCGTGATCTTATACTTATAACTATTTATATATTAATATTATCTTTCCAATTTTATACAAAAACAATAAATATACAAATAAATTTATTTTTCAATCCCAACTTACATAGAAATATCTAAGTGCTTTTTTTACTGCCTTTCTTAATGCTCGAAATACCTATGAGCTATCTATCTACCTATATGAAAATCTAAGATTTGTTTAGGGGCCCCTCCTATAGAAAGATATCGATATCATTAGGGAAAAGGAAAGGAAAAGGAAAAAGGATATTATATGAAATATGCATCTTCTTTGAATAATAGTCCCGATAGTCTCTGAAACAAATTAAACTATACAAATAATTAATAAAATTCCATAAGATACAAGTATTATATATTAATTGGTGGTGAGTCGAAATAATACAATTCCTTGAAATATGTAATTCGTGCTTCTTAAACGTTAACATACCTGAAAAAAACTGATTTAAAGAATTAGTATAATATTAAAGAAAAAAGAACAAAGACAAACAATTGATCTGTAATACTGTAAATTTATATATGAACATTCATCATCATTGATTGCAAAAAATTTATTAAAAAGAAATTAAACTTTAAAGACAAATATATATCTTGGCAATATTTTCTGCAACAAACGCAGAAAGTGATAAGGGGTGCTGAAAAAGAAAAGAATCTAGTAGCCAGAAGAG